CTAGACTGCCTGGGGAGCCTTTCATGGAGTAGTTTGCTGGGGTGAGGCTGTGGATGAGCTTGTACCATGGTGCATAGCATGGGAGGAGGATCTGGATGATGACACCGACCATGTTCATGTACCCAAATGCACAGGCCCAGAAGTGGAGTGCTTGTTTGGTGCAGAAGAGCCAGAGGAAGGTGGCAACAACAAAGGGGATTGTGAAGTGGCCTACACTGTAGGGGGGCCAGGCGATGATGTCTAGAGAGGGGTGGGTGAAGTGGGTGAGGATGTTGGAGATGTTTGCGCCATAGAGGACAGACTTGAGGGTGGGTAGGAGGGAGACAAAGATCGCAGGGTGCCATGGGGCCAGGATGAAGTGGGAGGTGTAAAAAGTGATGAGGTAGACAAAGATGGGTGTAGCAGTTGCAAAGAACTGGGATGTGGAGGGGATGAGCCCTCTGGCCTCAGGCCTCAGGGTGCACACAGCACAATATGACAAGGAACTCAATTGAGGGAATGGCCATGAAGGGAATTCCCAGTCAGTTTCAAAGTTTGAAGTTATTGATAAAGTATCCTATGGGGAGGGGCAAGAGACGGATTTTTGATTCAAAGCAGAAACAGACAGACCATGTGATAATTTGCAGTTGGATACAGTCAAGCTTTGGTTTTGGTTGGTGATTTGAGGACATCTGAGTTATGGGAAATCCAAATGTCTGAGTGTCCGGCGGACAGTCCGAATGGCTGAGTTACTAAATATAGCCCTGTGTCCCAACCTCCAATGTTTGATGACCATGCGCTCAATGTTGTTAGCATAGATAGGTGTACTTACTTGCTAGTAGATGGACAATTGAACACACAAGGTAAAAAATAAAACTAAACTAAGAAGCTGTAATTAATCTGAATCAGACAAATCATAATGGAGGCGGAAGCAAGCATTCTCACTTTCTTCATGTGCATACAGACCACTGTATTCTTTCTCCACCCAGGCATGCATCTTCAAGCTGGGCAGGAGCCTCCTTCCACTTCTTGACCTAATCGAAAACCATCGAACAACAGTATGTGACGCCAGGATAGCACTGTTCAAAGACAGCCTTGTGTCGTCCTTTTGCTGCCTTCTTGTAGCCCTCAGGATCTGTTGAAGCATGACCAGGCAATTGGGACATGGTGGAGGATTGGCGTGTGGGGTCAATGTGGTGTGTGCATGTGGTGGTCTTTTGGAACTCACATGATAGGGAGGTGACACACTTTCAGCAGAAGGGGTTGCATAGGTTGCATTGGTGGTGCTGGTGAAGGTTTGTGCTGACAAGGTTTTCAATTTCAATTGTTTGCAGCAGTGTGATGTGGGGAAAACACTGGACATATGTACAGACATGATGGACCACCAGACACTTGGATGTTCAGATTTCCCAAATCTCCAGAAGGTTTCATATTCTGAGAGTCTGAACTGCTGCTGATCTGCCAGTCCACCTGTCCAGAGTTTGCATGGCACCTGCCTCTGCCAAACACAGTTTGGTAATGGGTGAAAGAATGCCTTGTTGACGTTGAACAGGTGCTGATGTGTCCCATAAGGCCCAACTATTACACAAGATGGCAACAGTATGGCAACCAGAGTGTGCAAGGGGGGAGAGTGGTGAAATCAAGCTAAAATAGTAATTGGGGGGTTGCCACCTCAAGGTCATGTGTTACCAGAGTTTCAGCTTTCGTCATTACAGTATATACACCTGTCTGCATGCAAAGCCAGTTGATTGATTACAAACTCCACCTGGAAAAGCCTGCGGGCCCCCAAATCCCTGATGGAAGTGTTGCTCAAAATAATTTTTTTGCCTAGTGCCGAAGAGAACAACTGAATTGTTCCTGAAATCTGTCCACTGTACAGATTTTAATTCTTAACATCATTTTGTCCTGCGGACAAATCCAATGATACATTTAAAAAATAGCAACCTCTACTGTACTAATCCAATCAATTTGTCACACCCTGTGACCTGTGACCAACGCGATGAAATTTTGGTTTCGTTGCGTCACTGAGGAAGGTGTGACTGCTTGAAATTTTCATCGAAATGTCGGAGTAGCCCTCTGTCCATAGATAATTTAAGATAACTCAGAGAACTTTGCTAGAGAGACTTAGAGGGGGAGAAAATCAATTTTTGACTGACCTGGTGGTTTTGTCACTGGCCCCTGTGACCTGTGACCCCTCGGAATTTCGTCGATTTCGGACCCCCTGTGACACGTGACCGACAAATTGATTGGATTAGTACAGTATTTCTTTACATTTGTTTGCCCTCTTTGAACAATAGGCATACCAGTTGTCAAAATATAAATTGCCCTAACAGTTTGTTGTAATCACATAAAAGGTTAAAAAATGATTAATTTGTCCGGGGATTTGTCAAAGGCTCCGCTTGCCCGATCGTCCCTTGTTCAAGGTGAGAGTCCACACGCTTGCAAGTCAACGTGACCACCCTAACTGGGAGGGATTCAGGCTTGGTTCAGGCTGTCGTTTAGGATTACCTAGGAGGTTGATGATACGTCGACTGAGGATCATGGGGTGCATAGGGCGAAGGACAGTGCGCCGTTCAGTGTTGGATTCTAAGGGGTTATTAACCCCCAGAATTTTGGCTAAGGCTTAGGTCTTAGTTACAGGCCTTAATCAAGACTTGATTCTAAGGGGTTATTAAGGCTCTGCCTAAAAATAGATTATTTTGTTGGTCCTTCAAAATCATCACCTAAGGCCTCTAATTTTCTTATCATCTGGTACATATTCTCTGGTACATATTCTCTCCTCATCTGCCTCCTCATCTGCCAAAAAGTCATCAATTGGGCTTCCTCCATGTATGACTGCCACCTCTGATTTTGTGTCATCTGTACTGTCCATCAATAATTATCAGTTTATTTTCAGCTATGACAGTGCACAAGAATGTGGACCTGGTTCTGCTGGGTGCCAGTGATAAAGTAGTTTTGCCTCACCTGCAGCCTGCTCATCAATATCAGATTTTTTTTGGCCATGAAAAGAAAAGTATGCATGGATAGGGGACCCAACTTGCTTGGTGCCAGGGATAAAGTGTTTCCAAGAGTAAATTTGCAATTTGTCCATCTTATTTATTCCACATAGTACTTGTGGTCACAAAAAGTAACAGGGCACATGAGTTGGCGCGTCGTGAAGTTGATGGTGTGTGCAGCCCATTTTAGCAGCTAAAGGAGGTCATACCCAATTCTAATTTTGTAGATAATATCTCTCATATTCCCTCAATGTGAATGTATAGTTTTTTCCTGGATATCCTACCGGCTTAATGCATAAATGTAGAATTGTTGTCTAAGTCGAGCGAGGTGTGTGAGTGCACCCAAGCACATGCCCTGTTACTTTTTGTGACCACAAGTAGTCATATTCTCTTGGCACACCTTTCTAAGGCTTAACTAAGACCTATTGAAAACTCTGACTGATGCTAACCCTTAGCCTTAGAATGAATTTAAGCCTTAAACCTTATTAACCCCTAAGCCTTAAGTTCAACACTGGTGATTAATGAGTTGACCAATAGCTATCTCTTGTACTATGTCTCAAGAGGACCTATCTCTCCAAGCCCCAGTTGGCTTCTTCAGGAAATTCATGTAATATTCAACGTTCTAGACCTCGTCCAGCCGCAAGGAATTGCACTTACCCACCTCTTTCTGGCCTGATTTTTCCCCCGTACTCCACCAGCGCTATTGCTTGATGCCTCTTGGACTACAATATCAAAGCCATATGATGTATGTCAGGCATGTGTCTGCGGTCTGTTATGATTCCTCTTTTTTCCACTCTGTAATTGATAGCAGTGTTCATGTGCCTAGGTGGACCAATGACACATTTCAGGCAAGGGCGCTTGACCACTTACATAACCAGTATCTCCGAGATTAACTTGTCTCCCACCTTTGTAGAAATAGAGGAACTTGGACTCGACTTCGCGATCGCTTTGATGATGGCCATCTGGATGTCTGTTTAGCTTGTTTAATCCGCCAGTTGTTTCCACGACACAGCCTTATATCCCAGGTCCCTGCGTGGTATGCTTCGGAGAGTCTACTCTCCTTCTTGTCCACATCAACGCAACTAGGAGTGGACTGATATTTGGTCTGTTCTTGCATTGTCAAAGGCTTAGGTTATCTCACTGATGCGCGCTTGACAGCATGTCGGACTCCACCTCACCTTATTTCCCTCATTTCCTTTGGGAGTTCTGGCCATTGCATGTGCACGTCGACGACAATCTTCAATCATACCTCTCTTAAACCTCTACAACGGAACTGGTAAACTTTCAAACAAACAACGTGTTCACATACACAATGTGTAAGATAATAAATTAAACGAAGGATACAAGATACCAAGTAGCCATGGGACCATATTTCAAGACTTCAACTCTGGCTTTCTTAATATCGAGACTCAGAAAATCTTCAAAGAAGCCAAGCCAAGCTTCACGAAGCTTGAGTCTGATGTTCGGTCAGTGGTGACCGATCTTCTGGACCGAACTGTGTGGAGTGAGGAAAACACCAAGCGATACATACCATTCAATCGACGGGATGTCGAAACATTGCACAAATATTTTGTCTTTCCTCGTTTCTGCAACAGCACAGCGTACTGTCAGATGGTTGTCAGCCTTCAGAAATCAGGCTATGAGGAGCCCAAAGATGGACTAATTTTCAATCCTTATAGACCGCTCGTCGCCAAGTACTGCAAGCGACTTATTTTGCATGGATTCATTGACTTTTTGGAGCATTCTTGGGTGGATGGGATGATAGGGTCGTGTTCCGATGAACGGTTGCCTGTAGGGTGGTCTGTGGATACTTTTTAAGATGTGATGGACCTGTATTGCTGGTGCTTATGCAAAGCAGAGGTCTGCCTTGGCATTGCTTGCAAGGACCAGGAGTTCATTCTTGCAGATTGCTGTTTCGGTAGTCTGGATGAGAGGATCCATGAGTTGACCGTTTTTCTCTCAACGTGCAGAGGAAGATTTGACAGTGTCGTTGCATTCATTAGGGAATGCCGCGATCTCTTTTTTCCCCGTCTTCTCAACCCTTGCTCTTTACATCCTCAGCACAGGCGTCAGACGTCCATCTCCGAAATGCCATGATCCTTCAAACTTACCCACAGTTCCTTTACTTTTTTTCTCTCCAGACTGTTGCACTTTAGTTAGTTCAGTCACATGGGTCCAATAACAACGGAACAGCCGGATGTGACAATCACTCATAGTGAATGGGTCAGCCAGGGTGGCCAGTTTGATTGCCATTGTTCCGTTGGCAACAAAGCGGCCGGTTTCTGACCCTGGCAGGGTTTACGCTCCCGCAGCAGAACCACTTTTCAACTGACAGGCTCTGACCACGTCCTGATGGGCTCTCAGCCCATCCTGATGGAACTACAAAAAAATTTAACTGGGGCCTCTCTCCCCTTACTTACATCCATCTAGATCTGTAGCATAATGTATCTTAATCTTTATCTCGTCCAACTCCTGCAAGATAGTCTCCATATCAACCAAAAACTGAATTTTGTCCCAACAGGGAAACACTCACCTTGTAGTTAAGAAATGAAAGCTTTTCATTTAACTACTCACACCTTGTCTACTCATTTGTGGCTCCATTGGGGTGTCAAACTGGAATTGATGGTTCTGTTGGGGATGTCTCCATTGGGGTGTTTGACATTGAGATTGAAGGCGCCACTGGGGATGTTTCCGTTGGGGTGTTTGACATTGAAATTGAAGGTGCTGCACGGGGATGTCACTGTCGGGGTGTTTGAGGTTGAGATTGAAGGTGCTGCAGGGGATGTCTCCATTAGGGTGTTTGACATTGAAATTGAAGGTGCCACGGGGGATGTCTCCGTCGGGGTGTTTGACATTGAAATTGAAAGCGCTGCACGGAGGATGTCACCGTCGGGGTGTTTGAGGTTGAGATTGAAGGTGCCATGGGGGATGTCTCCATTAGGGTGTTTGACATTGAAATTGAAGGTGCCGTGGGGGATGTCTCCGTCAGGGTGTTTGTCATTAAAATTGAAAGCACCACGGAGGATGTCACCGTCGGGGTGTTTGAGGTTGAGATTGAAGGTGCCGTGGGGGATGTCTCTGTCAGGGTGTTTGACATTGAAATTGAAGGTGCCGTGGGGGATGTCTCTGTCAGGGTGTTTGTCATTAAAATTGAAAGCACCACGGAGGATGTCACCGTCGGGGTGTTTGAGGTTGAGATTGAAGGTGCCATGGGGGATGTCTCCATCAGGGTGTTTGACATTGAAATTGAAGGTGCTGTGGGGGATGTCTCCGTCGGGGTGTTTGTCATTAAAATTGAAAGCACCACGGAGGATGTCACCGTCGGGGTGTTTGAGGTTGAGATTGAAGGTGCCGTGGGGGATGTCTCCGTCAGGGTGTTTGACATTGAAATTGAAGGTGATTGAAAGCACTGCAGAGGATGTCGCCATCAGGGTGTTTGAGGTTGAGATTGAAGGAACTGTCGGCAATGGCCCCATCAGGGTGTTTGACATTGAAATTGAAAACATGACCTCCACGATATGGTCATCTGTGGCATGATCTTGAATACGTCAAGTTAGCAGAGCACTTTATTGACTGTGGCAGAGCATTTGATTGACACTGACAGGGAATTGAGAATTCAAAATGTTGACTCCCGCAGGGCATTTGATTGACTCCGACAGGGCATTCAAAATTCAATATGTCAGCTCTGGTGAAGCATTTATTCAAGATAGAGGAGTCAATCCACTACAGCATTTTTAAGCTGGTGCCCAGATCATCCATCCATTGCAATGGCTTGGAATATGTGATTTGCAGAAACAAGAAATATATTGTCAAGAAATCAACACACAATATTGATGAAAGGTCCTGCTAGTAGCCATGACAAATCCTCATAATACAAAAGAAAGATCCACTGAATTGGAGGTCAGATAGTTGAGGTGTGCACCATTTAGTTTTTAGAAGTAGAACAACTCTGGCAGCATGCCTTACCAAATATGGGCCAGTGGCAACCTAATATGGAAGGAGCACATTATTCACACACCATCTGAAACTACGCACTGCACCGCACTCATTGGCGATGCAACGCACCAACAACACAAAGACATTGGGGGGATCCCAGAAAGGAATAGAATCATTTGGAATAGTTTTCTCAGTGATTGAAGAAGTTTTTGTGAACAGACCTCGGAAAGAGCTATTTGGTGCATGAATCTTTATACAAACCAGTTGCACAACATGCCATTTTGCATACATCAAGTTATTTTTTTTTTTCTTCCCTCAAAACTGCTTCCCCCACCTATCTGAATTGATTCTAAAGTATGTAGGCTATATTTGGGGAAAGTATGGGAGCATTTCAACAAGATTTAGATAGTGAAAGGAAATAAGAAAGAATGTGGTTTCATGTTTAGAGTCATATTTTCACCCTTTCAAGCTCCAGCTCCCCCAAACCATCAGAAAACTGCTTTGGAGCAGGGGATATATATTCTGCCATATGTTAACTATGTATAAGAAAGGCTCAGATGTTGAGATTTGGTAGCAAAGTATACAGAAAAATCAACAATATCATGTTGCAAGATATTTCATGCATTCAACCTCATTTCTCCACCATGCGCCAAAATTCTTTTCCAAAGTAAACTTGAACCTATTTTACAACAGTTATAGTATGTTGGAAAGATGTATTGAGAAGCTATAACAGTACAGCTCATTTTTTTTCCCCACAACTCTGGCGGGGCATTTCATTGACTCCAGAGCAGAATCACCTGTCAGGTTGAAAAAGCTGAGAAATACTGGGGAGCATTCAAATGAGGTCAGCAAGGACATGGAATTGGTGTAACTAGGTTCAGGCAAGTCAGAGACAGTGAGGCTGCATTGTGGTGTTGGAGGGCTGATGTGGCTTGGTCCTGCTGCAGACGCATTGGACACTGCAAGGAGGTCCACATGCTCAAGCAAAGTTGGTGGTTGGTGAGATGATGCTGTCAGAGGGGGTTCTTGGAGAATCTGGATCAATAAAATCAATTAGGTCTCTTGCGAGAGGGAACATGACTTACAGGGGATGGTGGAGCAGAGAGCTCAACGTGCTTGAGTAGTTTCTTTGGTAATGTTGGAAGGCGGTGGTCCATGATTGAGGCTGGAATCTTGACAGAGATATGGCCAGTGTGTTGGGGAGCTGGTTCACCAATGCCTGACGCCGTGGAAGCAAGGAGTGAGTGGAGAGTAATGTCAATGCTATAGATCTTGATGCTGGTCACAAGTAGGAGGTCTTTACCTTCCCCAGTATAATCCATATGGAATAATCCTGGAATGGTCATGGAATGATTAATTCCATATGGACTCCAACACCATTCCATATGTATCCACATTTATTCCATGGAGCAGTCCATATGGATTCCATGGAGCAGTCCATACGGATTCCATGGAAGGAATTAATGACCATTATACCATTAGAATACATATAAATGTAGTATTTATAGTGTCCTTACTATATATTTAAGTAAAAAAGAATTTTTGCACTTCAGAGAATTGAACCCTCAATGTCGTCAATAATAGCAGTGCTCAAGCCTAGTGTTCGCAAGTTCAGTTCAGTCCGGTTTTTTGCCCCCAAAACATGCAACTATGGACCGCAACCGGTCTAGGACTGACCCAGATATTGAGGGAACCGAACCGAACCACCTAGGACCGGTCTTTTTCGGTCTATGGAGCTGGTTCAGACCGATCCAGACCGGTTTTTTTGTGTATAATTTATTATACCAATATAAACCATTTGTATCTCGACTATTATTACTCTGAAAAATAAACGGGTTATATAAAAGAGTAAAGCATGTAAATACCCGTCATTCTACCAATTTTCAAGCGATTTAATGAAGATTTGACATAGCTATGACTGAAACTGAATTACATCTCATAGAGACTCGGGTAAAATATGGATTTGGTTATATCTTTCTCAATTCTTAACCGTTTTTGATGAAACAAAAACCCAATAAAAGGTAATAAACGTGGTTACAAGGGTATGTAACGCACGTGACCGTTTAACCGGTTGCAACCGATCAAAACCGGTCTTTGAACGGTTTTAATATATTTTCGAAATGAGGCAACCGGCAACTGGACCAACCCCAAATTGGGGCAACTGCAACCGAAAAAAAGACCGGACCATGGTCCAGTTCAGTTCGGTCCACCGGTTTTTTGCGGTCCTATGGACTGAACCCTTAAACACTACTCAAGCCACCTGAGCCATGCAGGCTTTATTATATGTAAAACTAAAGGTATCTATACAGCGTGTTTTGGCATGTGGCCTTTCAGATGTGACAGCTGTAGCTGAAACGTTGCCACATCTTTCTTCCTTCCACCACCACCATCACCATCCACCCCAGCATCACCGCCCACAACATTTACAATGACAATAATGATGCCACCACCGCCCCTGACATCAACGACGATGATGCCATCACCCGCAACATCAACGATGAGGACAACGCTGACGATGCATGATGACACACAACATTGTCAACAACCACCCCACCACTAGAGCCACATAACAACACGGCAGTACTTCATCATGCCCCACTGATTCCTGCAGGAATGGAGCCATTCCACTGGAATCCACAGGAATGGACAGGAATGTACAGGAATGGACAGGAATGGCCTAAAACACATATTTTGGAGCCTAGAGTATATTATGGAAAATTCCAAGCTTAGCTAGATGTCATGTGACTTAATCAACTCAGACCTTATGCTCATAACTTCTAAGAATTCTTTATGATATTTAGACTTGAATAGGGAGAATCACAGTGTATTTGATAGAACTACATGAATCTA